CTACGGAGTACACAGTCCTACTACTAGAGGGATATTGTCCGCCAATCGGACTCAAAACAGCGGCCGTGCATATTCCGTAGGCAGGTACCCATGGGCTGTCGTCAGCCAGATCATGAGATCGATCCTCCACTACGCACAAAGCATGCCATCATTGCTCACAATGCTTAGGTATCCTACTCAATCTTGAGAGCACTGCGCGTCGCCGACTGCCGGGTACTATTGGGACCGAACCATGGTACGGAGGTCACCGGTTCCTGGACGCTACACAGCTAACAATCAGCTGGAAGGTTTCGATCTGCATCACCCGGACACTGGTCCACCAAGGTGCGTGAGGGCAGTCGAGGGGTTACGACTGTTCTCGAAATTCGGACAGTTTCTAAACATATATCTGCCAGTTGTGACAGGCCATCGGTTTCCCAGATCGTCGGGTCCAACCAAGGAATGACAGCGTATATACACTCTGCTAAACCGGGCCCCTTGCTTCCTGCTTAAGCTTCCGGAATATACTTTGGAGTTGGAGATGGGGTAGATGCAAATCACATCTGCTTGCGGGGGTTACTGGTTGGGGTGATTGTCCATCCTCATCTTGAACGTTAAGATTGGGATAAGAGCATGAGATGTCACTTCTGGGGGCCTGTGCTGGTTCGCCTCGAAGGTAAAGGACAATCGATGATGCTAGAAACGGAACACTCCATATAGGGGGAAGTAATAGGGGAAGATTATTGGTGTAGACCTCCAACCGATAGACGAGGCTCGTGCGTTCCAATTTGGAAGCCTGCAAGTCCAGTCACAGAAGGGATACACCTCCGTCCTGGAGGTGACAGACGGACGACGGCACCATGAAAAACATATTGAGCTAGACTAGTTGCCATTCCACTTGCCAAGTTAGACTGGGGGAGGACGGGAGAATCGTTGTTAGTCACGGGGGGGGCGGGTTGCCCCTGAAGGATGATCTGCGGTGGATGATGGTTCAGGGGCTAAGATGCCTGGGAGGCAACACTATCGTCTGGAAGGTCAAGAAATCGGCCATTGTTGCAAACTGATTGGGGTGGTGGGAAAGGGGTAGATAAAAATAAATGAGAGTCAAACCGATATTGAGTGTGAACACGAAAATTAAGAAGCTTGACCGGGAGGTTCGGAGCGAAAGTAGGGTAGAAAGTAGAGTAGAGTATGGGGATGCGACCGGAGTAACTCTCGGTCAGTGAGTGTACACACCGTAGATGTCCAGCCATAGAAATCACCCGTCGATAGTCATGGAATAATTATCCTGAAGACACATATTCGAAAAGCAAATCAGCCTCACTACAGGTTTCTTCTGTAAGTAAGAATTCATGCCAATCGCTGACCTGACACCAAAGAAGAATGTGTTCCGACCCGCGGCGAGCTGCAGCCAGAGCCCTTCTAGTCTAGTCTAGTAGTGTTGTCAAGGAGAGAGAGAGAGACATGAAGTGGTGCTAAAGCAACAACGCGTGTTGGCTGAATGGCCCCAGGGCCAATCAGGGGGAAACATTGCTGGAAGGGTTCGTGGATCGCCCCAAACTTCCAACTTTCTCACTGCGAACACACGAGGAAGTTCTCTAAGAGAGGTCCCACCCAACTAGAATCGGTCTTTTCTGCATCCCAGACGGGCTAACTATCCACCCACTGGACACACACTACACTGGCAACCAAGCTAGTCTAGTCTAGTTGTTTAGTGTTTCTTTCCCCCCCAGCCAAGAGTTTACTACTAGTATTAGTATTAGTATTTTGGATGGGCCCTTCCCACCTCCCCCCCCCCAGTCAACAATGGTTGGTGCTTGTGCTTTCTCCCTTCACTCTTTTCAGTTCCGACATCCATGCGTCTCTAACCCAACTCCTTCTGGCTCCATCCAGATCGTCCTGTCGCGTCGTGTCGTGCCCTTGACATCTGGGGATGAAATTGTTCCCCTCATGCGAGGAGTCCTGCACTGCATAGATTCACACGACCCTTAAAGCACGCGCCCGGTGTGGCCTGGACGAGCCACTTTCTACCCCCCTCACACAAACCCCCCCTCCACCCGCTCATTCCAATGAGCCAGTGACTGGTGGATATCTCTTCGCTATTGTAGACTGTCGCCGTTGCCCAGCATGGCATCCATCATGGAGGGGGGCCTACTGCCCATGATTAAATGCTCCAATTGTGGAATGAGCGTGGAAATCTCCTCCATGGGCGATCATGTGTGCGTTAAACCAATGCCAGGTAACTATTCTCCCCAATCTTTCTCTACTTCAACTATGTTGTCCACGGTTGGAATGCAATGTGTTGACCAGTCCCTTGCAGCGACTCCTTCACCCTCTCAATCCCCTCCGCCGGCCCCGCCCAAATCAGACAATGTGTTACCCTCCAGAACTCCCAGCGATGCCTGGGCCTCCAAGTCTGGAAGGTCCGGCCCTCCGCCTCGCATTGACCCTGCAATGGCTAGTATGTTTATTTGGACACCACGCGAGCCTGCGCCATCCATATATTAGAGTTATGCGTCTCATGCAGTTAACACCGGCCTTCCAGATCGTCCCTTCTTGAACCCCGCAAGCCCGATTGCCAACCACGACCCGTTGATCCCCTCCCCTCTTTCAACGTCTTCAGGTCAGCGATCGCCGTTCAGAGCGCTCCAGCGCAGCCAGACCTCTCCATTGCCCGACGAACCGCACTCTCCGGACTCGATTAACCTGGAAACCGCGTTTGCGACTTTTCCCTTACCCCGTTCCATGTCGGACAGACACCCGGGTGGTATGTCGAACATAAAGGATCTCAGGTCAGCACCACCAATGCCATCGGCTCGATTGGCACCTGCATTGGACGGAAATGCGCTGGATGACGATATGCCTCCGCCACCGCTCCCGAAAGATGACCCTCCGGCGACGGCCATGGGCGTTGGGCATAGGCATGGCGCTTCGATAGACAGCAAAAGCAGCTACCGGACATCGCTGGCAAGCACACGATATGGAGACAACAGGAATTCCAAGCGGTCGACTGCCATGTCGAGCCGCCGGCCTTCGTTTGGAAGCGTCGCGCGCGATCCGTACAAGTTCGTGGATGATGCTCCCCCGGTGCCGTCTGCTGCACCGCAACAACTCCTGCGCCCCTCCCGGAATTCGGACACCTCGGTGGCCGGAGTCGCAGACAAGCGTGAAGGCAGGGGTGAAATATACAGTGGCTTCGATTTTGGGGTGTCGGAACGGCCGACGAGCGCCAAGGCTGAAATTGACCATGTCAATGCGAGCGCACTCCGAGTCTCCTCGCATACCAACAGCAACTCCGATCGTCTGAGCAGCAACCGCGGCTCAGCAGAGTTGTTCTTCCAAAGCCCGTCCCAGAGTTCCTATGGACCCCCGCTCGACTTTGAGCTGCCCAACGAGCCGCTGGCTTCGCCTGCCACCCCGGCCAACGGGGAGTACAAGGCCTTCAAGCCACAGAGCTCTGAATTTCTCCAACCACCAGACGCTGAATCTGGTCGCACCAACGAGCGGGATACCAACCAGAGGAAGGATTCTGATTCCGCTAGCGAGGGAAACAACTCCGTCTCCAACTTCGCACGAGCATTGGGACTAGAGGTCGACCACACCGCGAATGATTCAATCACCTCGTCGGATTCCTCGCCGTCCGACACCACCCGGAGTGGAACGTCTCTATCTAGTCTGCCATCGGAAGCCAGCATGTCCCGACGGAAACCCTCAGACCAGGGTCGTCTGGGCGCTGTTGTGGAGGAGGAGAGGAAGAAGTCTCAGCAGCCTGTGCTGGACGAACCGGTCCTCGAAAGTCCGACCGAGCTCGAGCCCCCTCGCATTCCAGAGGCCTTATTCAGCCCGGACTCGCCAACTGACCCTGCCATTAGTCAGGGCAGCCTGTCGCTTGTTTCGGAAAAGAAACCCCGACGTCCTGAGGAGGAGAGCCCACCGCGGCAAGAGGTGGTGCGTTCTGCGACGGCACCGCAGCCGCGACCCTCCCCTCGGCCCAAGGGCCCCTGCCGTGGTTGCGGTGAAATGATTATGGGCAAGTCCGTGTCATCGGCCGATGGCCGTCTGACGGGTCGATACCACCGCGCCTGTTTCGTGTGCTTCCAGTGCCGGACGCCGTTCCAGACGGCTGACTTTTACGTCCTGGAGGACCGTCCCTATTGTGCCCAGCACTACCACGAACGCAACGGCTCCCTTTGCCAAACCTGCAATACTGGCATTGAGGGTCAGTACCTTGAGACTGTTGAACGCCGTGGCCGTGGACCCGCGGATCGCCAGAAGTTCCACCCGGACTGCCTGAAATGCCGCACCTGCCAGGTTCCCCTGAAGGGGGATTACTTTGAATGGTATGGCCAGGTTTACTGCGAACGTGACGCCCGACGGGCGGCAGCTGCTACGCCACCACCTCCTCGTCCTCGCCGTCCAACCATGCCCTCGTCTCCATTAGCCCCGTCCGGCCGTGGATATCCCCCACCGCCCCCAGGGTACATGGGCCCTCCTGGCCCCGGTCCTGGCTTTGGACCGCCTCGTGGACGGGGTCGTGGTCTGCGACCCCCCGGCCCAGTCGATGGGCCATATGCAGCGGCGGGACCCCTTCCTCCCGCGCGACGTTTCCCGGAGCGCCGGACTACCAGGTTGATGATGATATGATATCCCTAATGGCTGTTCTGATGGACGTTACGCTGCGGACAGCTTTCTTTTCTCTTATTTTGCCAATGCTTTCCAAGTTTTGGGGCACATATTTTTTTTTGCCCTTCACATTTCCTTGCCATGACCTAGACCTTTCGCCATATACCCTTCTTTTGCATCTCCAGAAATTGGTTCCTCATCGTTAATTTCTTTCTCCCCTGGCTGGCGAGGTTTGAACAGGGGTCGCTTCTCTTCTTGTCTGTTGGTGGTCACCAACAATTTATGTTTACACTGCATAATGTCTGGTGTCATCTTGGTGTTTCCAAGCTGGTTATTCTACTTGGTTGGGTGGCTGGATATCCTCTTGACGGCATGTCAGAGCGTTAATGTATGAATTGATTAATTTAACATCAGCAACATTGTTGTGCAGTATGTAAAGGTCACTGTAGATCCTCCAAACTAGAGAATTCGTGTGGTGTACTGCCTGAGGCTGCCGGATGGTCCACCTGACCGGGAAATATATATGTGCCGCAAATTTGAGTACTCCCTCGACCACTACGTTCAGTCCTCTTCCACAGAAGTATTGGGTATCCTGGGTGGGAATTTCGGCATCCATTCCCATTGTGTCATCAAATTATCATGTTTCATGCGCCCAGTCGGATGGAAATGGCTTGCATGGATACTCAATTAGACCATAATGCTTGCATATCCCTGATTCGGTACTTTGCTGGCGGGGTTGGGTTGACTACCAGCTCTGGTGTTTGGTGTCCAGTGAACCAGTTGAGTCGAATCTGGGGTAGCACATAACGAAGCTCTTTCGCTTGACGTCGTATTAACTCAATCTGGTCCGGAATGAGCTTCGACAAAGACAATTCAAATCTGCTGATTCAGCCAGCTCGCAAGAGCTGCAAAGATGATTATTACAGAGTCCCAGTTAACAACAACAGATGATACAAGGGTTAAACTTACCGTTCTGAAAATATGCATCTTCTTCGTGGCCAATGCACCTGGCCGTCCTTGCTTCGTGTTCTCTTCCGTCTGCTGCCCGCTGCAAATAGTACGATTGATACTAGGTGAACTGGTGGGAATGTTGTCTGATATCCTTGATACTGTCTTTTTCGGCGGAAGATTCAGCGGAAAGTGCGGCATTTCCATAACGAGGGGGATATCAGGGGATTGCTCTCCGCCCTCCTGGACCTCCATAGTTATGGGGTTGGGATGTCCCGCATACCCAGGAGTCGCTGGTCCTGTGAGTGGCACTGCAGTTCGGGCGATGTACTGGCTTTCCGGAGACTGGGTTTGGGGTACTCGGCTTGGACGGCGTTCTCTAGCGGCGCTCTCGATCTGCCTCAACTTTGTGTGTGTAAAGGTCTCTCTGTTCATCATGGCTGTCGAGCGGGCCATGTGATATGCACCCAGGGTTTGATTGATGTCCGCTGCAAGGGCCTTGTATAGGCGCATTATGTCTTGAGCCTTTGTTTCGGCCTGCACGGCCGATATCCACAGGATTTGGTGGTGATTCCGAAGGCCAGGATCACGCTCGAAAGCTTCGTGTATCTGACCTCGTGTCGATATCATCTCCTTGAGGGCCTTGCTCATATACTCATATAGTGTCTCGGCCATGTCTCTGCACTCGAGAGCGTATACTTGTGATTTGATCATGGGCATACCAGCAGTCTTTGCCATTAACACGGTGTCGATAGTCTGCCATGACTTGACTGTTTTGTCTTGAAGATGGTTGACCTGAATGATGGCATCTTCGACCAATCCTAGTGTGGAATTCTGATGAGAGCCAGCGCGCGTTGTTCCTAGCGTTGGGATAGCGGTGGGGACATGCACGCCGCCGCGCGGGGTTTCTGGCACTTGCTGTTCAGGCACTTCCCTTTGCGGCTGTTTCCCCTTGGAAATGTCACTTTGCGATCCGTCTTGGTGGTCTTCATGACGAGCAGCTTTCTCGTGATGCTTTCCTTTCCACAATGTCAGGATTGACCGTCGTCTCTGGGTTTCTCCTTCCCTTTCTTGCCGGGATGCTGCTAGGACTTCTATCCCGTTCATCTCGGTGTGCTGTTCGGGCTCAGACTGGAGAGAATCTTCTTCCGAGGCGGTGTCTGTGCGTGCTTTAGCTTTGTGGTGGCCTCCTGTATCGACTTTTGTACTGGTGGAATCATCGGATGATCAGCAAGTGGATGGAGCATTAGCTGGAGAAGGAAGATCGGTGGCACCGATTGAGCAACGAATGAGTTGAAGAAGGCGATGACGTTGGGGGGTCTGTGGCTTGTCCAGGCTGCCACCTCAAGCTGGGTGTACCTCAGAAGATCGAGTTGAACCATGGTCAATGGGAAGGGAGTTCCTGTTTGATGGATCAGTCCATTACTGCTACGTCAATGCTCGTCATTCCCAAGCTCTAAAAAGGTTGTCTCCGTGCGGGCAGCTTCACAAGCTTGTCTGGAACTATAATGCGGACCAACCACAACACATGACTCGTGTTACTACTGTACCAACTCACTGGTAACACAAGGGGTAAGATGAAGAGGAGCCCTTCTTACCGAAGAGGTAGACATGCACAACATTGTCATCAATCTCGGTCTATCCTTCCTCCGAACAAACCACATCGTGCCAGCGCATCTCGCATATCGGCAGCCAGCCACAAGCGGCGGGGGATCTGCAGACTCCTCACGGAGTCAACAACACTTATACCCCTCCCCCTCCGTCCAGCTCTTCGTCCCCAAAACGTTCCTCTCCCACTCTACCAAAACACCCACCTTAACAAAACCACCCACCATGGCTGTTCCCTCCGGCCTCCCCAACTACACTCGTCACATAACCAGCCACAACTCCTCCGGAGAGGCAATAATCCACTCCTCCACACCAGGCGATTGGACAAGCATCGGGGAGGACCGATTCGGCTTCAGCGTCGCCTACACCACCTCATCGTTCCCACCCGACCTCAACAATGACGCCGACATTTCTAGCCACACAGCCAAAATGGAATCCAAGAACCTCGGGCTCGTCAATCCCAACGGCACCGTCTGTCGCGTGGTGGACTTCGCACCCAACACAGACCCATTCATGCACCGCACGCGGAGTCTAGACTACGGAGTTGTCCTGGAGGGCGAGATCATCATGGAGCTGGACTCGGGGGAGAACGTGTTGATGAAGAAGGGCGACATAGCCGTGCAGCGGGGGACGATGCACGGATGGCGCAATCCGAGCAAGGAGAACTGGACGAGAATGCTGTTCGTGCTGCAGGATTGCAAGCCCATCTCTGCGGAGGATGGCAAACAGCTGGGTGAGGATCTGGGAAAGTCGTCGGATTTGCCTCCTTCTGATGGAGCTAATGCATAACTTCCATCTCTATCTATACACTAAGTCTCACTCTATATACACACCGACAATGAATAATGACAAGATCAAGGAACCCGAATAACAACCTTCCCAAAATGCCCTCCACTCTCCAAGAACCTAAACGCCTGATCAGCCTCCCCAAACCCAAACACCTTCGAAACCACCGGCTTAATGCCCTTCTCCTCATAGAAAGCCACCATCTCCTCAAACCGATCCCTTGGACCATTAATAATCCCCTGCAGCGTAACCGTCCGTCTCAGCGCCAGCAGATTGACATTGATCCGATCCTCGGGATCATCCACCTTGCCGGACAAATACCCAATGCAATTAATCAAGCCCCCGAACGCAATACACTCGAAACTCTTCCTCAGCGTCCTCGCACCCCCAGTCTCAAGAATAACACCCACCCCCTTCCCCTTCGTAATCCGCAGAACCTCCTGGTCCCAGTCCGGCGTAGTCCGATAGTTGATCGTGTAGTCCGCACCCAGCGCCTTCGCTTTCTCTAGCTTTTCGTCCGACGACGATGTAATAATCACTACACCCACGCACACACAATCTCATTAGCATGCAAACCCACACCCCAATCCCCATTCTCAACAGATAGATGAACATACCAATAGCCCCCAACTCCTTCGCAATTTGCAACCCCGCAACCGCCACCCCCCCAGTCCCCTGCAACAGCACCACGACCTCCCCACCCTCGCCCGAGCCCCGTCCACTCTTCAACTTAATCCTCTCCTCCAAACTCATCCAAGCCGTAACACTCGCAATGGGCAACGTACTCGCCTCCACATCGCCCAGATGCCCGGGGGCCTTCACAAGCCCATGTTCCGGAAACACCCTATGCGTCGCCAACACACCCGCCTGGGGATGTCCCAGCCCATTCGCCAGTTCCTTCTCGGTGACCTGGCCGGTGATGTGATCGGGTAGGAAGGTCGAGAGGACGCGATCACCGGGCTGGAAGCGGGTCACGTTGGGGCCGATGCGTGTGATGGTGCCGCACATGTCGGAGCAGGGGACTTTGTGCTCGGGAGTGGAGGTGGAGGTGGATTTGTGGTGGGTGTATTCGCCTTTTGTTACTGTTGTTGTGGTGGAGGGTTAGTAGGTGATAGATGGGGGAGGGAGAGGAGGAGGCAGAGGAGGGTAAAGGGGGGGTTGGGAGGGGGGATTACCTTCGACGTCGCGATAGTTGAGAGATACGGCGTGGATCTCAACGAGGACTTCGTGATCTCCTGGAGTTGGGATCGGGATGTTGGTGGTGGATTTGGTGAGCGAGGAGAGGCCCGTTAGGGGGGTGGTCCATTGGGTGACGGACATCTTTCTTCTTTTTTCTTTCCTTTGTTTGATTGTAGTTGTAGTAGGGGGATGTTGTAGTATATCGAATAAGTGGGATAGCAGATAAGAATGTGAAGGGTGAGGGGAAGATAAAAAGGGAGGGAAAAAAAAGCGGCAAAAATTGGAGAAATCGGGTTGATGTCACGATGACCCACTGCGGGGAGGGAGGGAATTTGGGACAATTGATTATCAATCAACAACAACAATAGTGGATGCGGAATTCTTCACGGAAAGGGGTTGCCGAATGGATGGAGTGAGGGAAGAAGAGTGGAGACATTAATTGTGGTTGTGGTTGTGGTTTCCGACTGGGTTGGGGAATTGGGGATCGTGGTCTACGGGTTATTTTCTTTTGAGTGGGTGATCTTAGGATAATTAGCTCTTGTCCTTCATTGGCGTGATTAAGGTATATTAGTACAACGCTGTCTGTCTAGTAGAATATTAGAAAATATTATACATTGATATTCTCGTTTTGTCCGCAATATACAAAGACAGAGGTCACAACTGTTCATACCCACATGCTAGAACACGATACTTGGGTTACACATCTATCTTTTCGTCCTCCGTCTCACGCTTGCGCTTCTGAGAAGGATGCAATAATCCGGAGGCAAACTCAACCATCTCATCAACAAAGCCGGTACAACGGACGTTCCCGACTCAGCCGTATGGCGAAGGTGGTCTCGGCGGCAGTTGTGAGGAACCAGTCTGTGAAACGAGGCGAGGTATAATGTCATGGTAGAAGTTTCGCTCGTGGAGATAGTAGTCTCTTTCGGCGATGAGGAACTGGATCTGCTCAGCCTGCAGCTGCATTAGTTCCTGCAGTTGCTCGGGATCCCCGTGCGAGCGCAGTCTGGGCCGGCGAAGGAGTGCCTTTGCAGGTGATCCAACTTATTCCCTGAGAAAGTGGATTTCTGGGGCCTGCAGCTGGATACTCCCCTACAGAAGGTTATTCTGTCGCACCAAGTGAGCGATGCGGTTGTGGCAGGCTTTTAGCCTGTCCTCAAAGTTGTTCCTTGGCTTGTCTAGCTCATTGAGAATTTGAGCTTTCTTGATACCCTCGTACCTTTTGACTGGGTCGCCAAGATTTCCACGCGGTAGGATATCGGTATGACCCCTGAGTGGCAGGTAAGCAAATATGCTATGAAGACCAACTTGGTCTCGAGTGTAACACATCATCCATCTCAGAGATGGAGGTCACATAATCAATAGCTAAGATTGACTCAGAGAGAACCCGTCCCCAACTTTCCTAAGCGATGATAGAGTTGGCTACGCCCAACAGGTCCCTAGCGTGTTTCAGAGTCTAAGCTGAAGTGAGATCATCTAGCTCCATGTCTAGTCTGGGGTGAAAGGTCTTCTAGGATTTTGTACTATGATTGGAGTGGCATTGGGGGCTGTGTTCACTAGTAAGCCAAGGAGTGGTGTCGCTTAACTATATACCTAAATCATTGTACCAGGACCATATTGTCGACCAATGTCTTTCGGAAGGCTCAAATTAGCATCTTCACCATCTAAATTAATCAGTAATATGCTGCTTACTATATCTAGTGCTTACTATGGTATGTTGTTAACTATATTGCTTACTACATATTAGGTGAGACTTGGTACCAACACGTGACCGGTAATATTTCAATATTCATTCAGTATCTTACAAGCGTATCCCATTGTCTTCGTACAGTGTTTCATTAACCGCTAATAAGTTACAGCCCCCTTAAGGCTTTCCGGATTACGAGGATGTTGTAGTAGATGGAGCAAAGCAAATGATATATATCCTATAATTTCCTGATGAATGTAGAATTGATTGTAGACCAAATCATAATTCCTGATCCACAATTTTCTGTAATCTCAGGATATTCTCTATAGTGTTATCAATTGGGCTGCATCAAAACATCATGAGTTCCTTTCCACCCCCTCCTACCCAGTCCCTAGGTGAGTAGTCTCCCTGCAGCCGCAAGTGTGTAATCTAACAAAGCGTGCAGAATGGGAAAAGCTTGGAATCGCACCCATGGATGGTCAGTATATGCCCTGAGACACGAGAATATGTAATATGACTGACAATTTCTTCGCTATGTAGTAAACGCTCATGTTGAGTGCGAGTATTCGGTGTCTACTGGTCATTGGTCCGAGCCCCGACTGGTTCAAGATCCTTTGCTGCGCATCCATGGTCTTGCCCCAGGGCTTAATTATGGTAGGCATGTGCATCGAACGCTACAGGTCAAATTGCTAACAACGCCATAGGCCAACAAGCATTCGAGGGCATGAAAGGTATTGTCACATGATACCCGTCTACGGATGGCTCTTGAAGGAATGTGGAACTGACTTTACATCAGCCTATCGTGACCCTCAAGGCCAGATCAATGTCTTCCGCCCCAAGGACCATGCAGCCCGGCTAGCCTTGTCGTGTTCCGCAGTTGCTATACCCACTATTCCAGAGGAACTCTTCCTTCGTAGTGTCAATCTCGCCATTGCCGGGAATGCGGAGTATGTGCCTCCACACGATACAGACGCTGCGCTCTACATTCGACCTCTGGTATTCGGATCCGATCCTTTCTTTGCAGTCTCCGCGGGAACTGGATACAAGTTCTGCATCTACGTCCAGCCCTACAGGGCCTACCACGGAAGTCAGCCTATACCAGCCTTGATCCTGGAAGACTTGGATCGCGCTGCGCCAAAGGGTGTTGGTCATGTCAAGGTCGGCGGAAATTATGGACCCGTCCTGAAATGGAGTGATCAGGCTCGTGCTGAGGGATACTTCATCACTCTACATCTCGACAGCCGGACCAATTCCGAAATTGACGAGTTCAGTA